GGGGAAGGAGCCAGGTCAGTAGTGTCCAGGGATGAGGTGGGAGGCTTCCAGGGGAGCATGAGGCTGATTCCATCTTCCAGGCCAGAATATTTCTCACTACACATGTTCTCAGAACTCATAATCTATGAAATGATCCTCAGAAGGTAGCTCCGGGGTCCCTGGGGAGCGGGTCCTGAGCGGGGAAGGCGTGAGCACGGCAGGGGTGACCCCGACCGCGACTTCCCGAGGGCTTCCTGGTGGAGGCGGCCTGAGCCGGGCCTTGGAGCTGGGTGGTGAGGGCCTTGAGGGGTCGTGGACCCCGGAGGGAGATGCTTCTGATGGCTGGAGACCCAGAGTCCCGAGACTCTCCCAAGGATGGGGGCGGGCCAGAAGAGCAGAGCACAGGGCCGGAGGTGGTGGCGTCCGCCCATTTCGGGGTGCAGGGCTTGAAGCGCAGGAAGGAGCTGCCACCCCGCCTTGGGGTGGCCGTTAGGGATGAGGGTCGAGACCGGCCCTGGCACCCCAAGCCAAGAGATCAGGGTCCAAGTGAAATTCCACTGGGGACCCGTTAGTCTGCTCAGGTCACAGGCTCCCGTCCAGCCCTGAATTCTGGTGTGGCTTCTTAGAGATAGGACCAGAGAGGCCAGTTAGGTCTCCAGGAATAACCTGCTAGTCACCTGTTACAGGGGCTGGAGCTTCCCCTGTGTGCCCTGGGAACCTGGCCCTGTGCCCACTGAGGGGTGCTTGCAACAGGCAGATCACAGACACTGGGCCACCTCTGTCCCACGTCCCAGCTCATAAGGAGACCCTGGACCACTGGGGTCACAGCGCTGCGGGAGCCACCCTCCCTAGCAGCCGTCGGCTGGGTGAGGTGAGGGGCCTGGGCCTCACTGTCCCTGTGGTCCACAGCGCTCTGCGGGGAGCAACTGACGGAGGTGCGCTGGTGCACTGTCTCGGACGCAGAGCAGCAGAAGTGCGAGGACATGAGCAAGGCCTTCCGGGAAGTGGGCATCCAGCCTTCCATCGCCTGCGTCCAGGGCACCTCGGCCCTCCACTGCACACAGCTCATCTCGGTGAGGCTTCTCCCTTCCACCCTGCGCCCACCACCAGGCCGAAGGGCTCTGGGAGACGAGCAGCGCGTGACAGCCACGTTCAACATCAGCTGGGGCCAGGCGAAGGGAGCAACGGCTGATTTGCTGGTGGTAGTGATTCCCAGTGCCCAGCATAGTAGTCACTGTGCACAGAGCCACCAGCAGGAGGCTTCCGAGGAGGCGATCC